CTCTGTGTGTGTTTATATAAAGGCATTTAGATGAGTGTGTGCTAGCATCAGATTATCATATTATTGTATTTCCTTTAGATATATGCTATATGTTGTACTTCTGGGTCTAGATATTTGGCCAATATATTGACCTAAAAACACTGTGTCCATTACCAGCTACATCAGCTAACTGTGATATTGTCTGTATGTTTTAAATAAATAAATAGTTAAATGAATGAATAAATAATAATTCATTTGTCGACAGTGAATCAACGTTTGTCAATTCTTCTGACTTATAGGAACAAAATTGTAAAAAAAAAACACTGTACATTTCATAAAAGTAAAATTCACAAATATATCCTTCATTCATCATTTTTCTTCTCAGCAAATGTTGATGCAGTTATGAGTAAATGTCCTGCTGCAGTAGAACCCATTTGTAACGCTCCCATCTTCTCCCTTGAATCCATTGGTTGAACAGGACAACAGTATCAGCAGGGTCAGCCTGTGTATTCCGACCGGAACACTACACTGACAGGACTGTTCCCCGATGGCACACCCTTCACTGGGACCCAGGACAGGAAGCCTCACTATGTATATGTGTGGAAAACATGGGGTAAAGAGAATTTAATGTTTCATTTTGCAGCAGTTTGTTACTCTGATAAATGTCACAAATATGTATTTGTTCACAAGAATTAGATTAGATAGAACTTTAGGAGTTCCCTTTGGGAAATTAATAATAAATGGCAACTTTCAGGATGAAATGCAACAGGAGCTTAAAAGTGTCTTTAGTCAGAGTCAGAGAATTTTTTTGTTTATTCCACATTTTATAAGTTACAGAATTGTTGCACTTTTTTTCTAGGCCGTTACTGGCAGGTGGCAGATGGTCCGTCCTCCTCCCTCACCATTGGCACAGACAACACCCCCTTGGGCTCCTACAACATGGAGGTTGTCATCTACCACTGCCGTGGCAAAAACAAGTTCATTCCTCTTGGCTACGCCTCCTCAGTCTTTGCTGTTACAGGTATATTGTTTAAAAAAAAGTTTAAGCCCCAGCCCCCAATTTGACCGTTTCTTTCAAAACACCTGACCATCTCTTCCTCTGTCATCAGACCAGGTTCCTTTCACCGTATCACTCAGCCAAGTCAATGATATCAACCAGGACGACCAGAACTTCATCCAAAACCGAGCCATCGCGTTCAGTGTCAACCTTCACGATCCCAGTCAGTACCTGAGCAGCGCTGACATCAGCTTCAGCTGGGACTTTGGAGACAGCTCTGGTACACTCATCTCCAGAGAGCGCACTGTCACTCACACGTTCGTTTCTGTTGGGACCTTCAAACCTCAGGTGGTCCTGATGGCCAGCATTCCCAGCGGATGTGTGAACCCCACTGCCGGTGAGTTTGAATCGTTATGTGTTTTAATCTAGAATACCAGTACTCTTTATTTACTCGAGTCATTTCAGAGTCAAAGATACAGTTTTTTTTTTTACAGTTTTCAACCTTTCTTCATAGTTTTAAAGTAACATAAACCCTGCAAGAAGCAGTGTAAATATAAGAAACAGCAATCTGATTTTTCCATTACTATATTCAGTAGCACCCATTGATGGCGCTGCTGTTCCAGTCGTACCAGCTGAAGCAGGAGATGCCATTGCTTTGGATGTTCCTGCTACCGATGCCACCGCACTTGCTGCTTCTGTGCAGCCGGACAACACAGCCACAGATGTAGACGACGTAGAAGGAGCAGTTGATACAGACGCAGGAGCAGTGGAGGTGCAGGTCGCCTCGGTGGCACCTGCAGCAGTAGATGCAGCTGTCGTTCCAGAGGAACAAGATCCTGCGAACACTGCTGCAGAAGCAGAGGTAGAAGCTGCTGCTGATGCTGCTGCTGCTGGTGCTGGTGGTGCTGCTGCCGATGCTGCTTACGCCTGTGGTGTGTCTGCTGCTGCCACAGAAGAGGAAACGGCTGAAGAAGCTGGAACTGCTGCACCTGTAGATGAAGAGCCAGAAGATACTGCTACTGCTGCTCCTGCTGCTGCTGACACTGATGCTGCTGCTGACACTGATGCTGCTGCCGTTGCTGCAGATGAGACTGCAGAGGTGACAGATGTTGCTGAAGTTGTTGAAGAAAATGCCCCAGCGGTTGATGCTGCTGTTGCTGCGGATGCTCCAGCTGCAGAGGGAGAAGAGGCAACTGCCGAGGTCACCGCTGACACCACTGTTGCTCCTACGGCAGAAGCAACTGAAGAGCAACAGGCTGCAGTTGTGGCTACTGAGGCTGCTGCCAACACTGACGCTGCTGCAGAGATTGTGCAAACTGATACAGAGGCAGCGGCTGATAATGATGCTGCTCCTGCTGCCACTCAGGCCACAGCTGTAGCAGCAGCAGCCGATACTGAAGCTGAGGTGCTGGAAACTGAAAACGATGTTGCAGCCACTGCAGCTGCTGCAGGTGAGAGTTGTCTTATGTATAAACTAAGTTTGTATAAAAGAAAAAAATACTGATCGTTATTGATGTGATTGATTATATTTTGCAGAGCAACCAGCAGGTGAGGGTGAAGTTCAAGCTGAAGTGGAAACAGATCCAGCACAAATTGCTCTTGTTGTTGCTAAAAGACAAGCACCAGAGTTGACAGCTGACTGTATGATCTACCGTTACGGCTCACTTGCGACCTCTGTGGATGTTGTTGGTAAAAACAAAAACAAACCTTTATAATATTTTGTTTTAATGCAGTCAACTACATTTGAAAGAGCTAACTTCTCTTTTTCACTCTTTCACCCTGCAGAGGGTATCGAAAGTGTAGAGATTGTGCAGGTGTCCAATGTCGTGTCAATGACGACTGAGTTAGAGCAAAATGCTGTGGACATCACCATTTCCTGTCAAGGAAGGTGGGTAGTAAAAATCAGATGAATTGTTTGTGTATAAATAGTATGTTTATACAAATGTCATGAATATATATATATAGTTATATATATATATTTTTATACAAATGTTGTCATGAATATATATATATTTATATATATAAGAGCAGCAGAACCTGCTGTTAACATTAACATTAACTGTTAACGTTAATTTCCTTAATATGGGATCAATAAAGTTTTTTAATGTTCTCTATCATGTCTCCCTGCCATTTCCTATCTTTTCAGTCTGCCTCGTGAGGTCTGCACAGTCATTTCAGATGCTGACTGTATCACACCAGTAGAAACTGTGTGTAACGTGGCGTCGCCCACTCCAGACTGTCAGATGACCCTCCGTCAGTTTTTCAATGACACTGGAGTTTTTTGCCTTAACGTGTCCTTGACTAACGACGTCAGCTTGGCTGTGGCAAGCGCTAGAGTCAGCGTAGCAGTCGGTGAGTTTGTAAAGAAAACATGAATATATCTTGATATGCTAACTGCTTTCAGCTAATTCAAGTTTCTCCGTGTCATTGTGTTGTTATGCATCGTTCACAGCCTCAGGAGGTTCACCAGCTGGAACTGCTGCCATTATTCTGGGTGTGATGGTTCTGGCTTGTGTCGTCTGTTGCATTGGTTTAATGTACAGGTGAGTTGAAATTTTTTTTAACCTGAAAGAAGGTTTTCAAATGTTGCATACAAATGTGTGTGATGCTGCACATCAGTGATGACTCCTGTGGAAACAGTCCAGGGTTAGGGGTTAGGATAAGGGATGATCCTTTATCGCAGGTTCCTGTTTTAAGTTTTGAACACCTTCAAACAGTCAACTTGACTTTGTTCCCTCACTTCCCTCCTTTCATTCTTCTTTTTACAGACGTTTCAAACAGTACCAGCCACTGACGGAGGATGGTGGTGTCAGCGGTGGAGGCAGCTTCGCAGTAACGTCTGTACCTCTGTTGTTGTGGAACCTGTTGAGCAGACACTCGTCAGGAGAAAGCCGTCCACTTCTGCAGGGAAGAATTGTGTGATGATCATCGGCAGCTCAAGACATCTACAAACATATCAGCTTTAATCACACAAAACGATATCTGCGGTTATATTGTAGCTCCCAGGGATTTATTGAAACCACCAACAGTTCAGTGAAACAACATACAATAATTTTTGTAGGAAGCCACATGTGTAATAATGTTTTAGACAGAATGGTATTTATTTTTTTGAAGTTAAAGGAGTATAAAATCCAGCACTTGATTTGTAGGAAACTGGTAATTTAGTTCTAATCTGAGTAAATCTCATTACAAATTCTTCACAGGGAATTTAAATCGCCTGCACTACACATTATAGTCATCTTTGCTACCCTGAAATGAATAAAATATAACTTTGTCACTATCAAGTGTTTCCACCTTTCTTTGTGAGCAAAGGAATGAAGTGTGTGGATTTCTATTTACAATCCATAGAAAATGTCTGATGTTTTAACTCCAGTTGAACTACAGACGTTGAGTTGTTGGTGCCAGAACACCTTCACAGGAGAAGAATGTGTCGTCTGTTATCAGTAACACCTGAGTAAAAAAGAATTATATGGAAGTGAGGTTGAATGGAGGACACTGACGGCAGACGTTTTACTAATAAAACATGCCTCTGGTGCTCACCTGTACGTTTCAGGTGAGTGTAACAGAGTTTAGAAATATGTGATACCACTTCGCATATAAAATAACTTCACACACACCATTTAAAAAACTCATTTTATGGCGTTTCATTCATCTGTACACTTGTACTAGTACCGTATTTTTCCATAGCCTAGAGTGCACTCTAGTGGCTGACAGGGTGAATGTCAAAGGATGAAAACAACAAAGTCTTGAGTTAATCAGTCTCACTCGTGTCACCTGGTGCCCAGGGTATATACTGTATGTTCATTGTATGTCGTCCATGCCGTGGTGTACTTTGTTCTCGGTCCTTCTATGTCCGCGCCTCCTGTTTTGCTCCTCTTTGTTACTGCCTGCTCCTCAATTCCAGTAAGTGGATACATTTAAGTTTTTTTTAAATCCTGAAACAGATTCCTGCCTCTCCGGTACTGCACATGGGTTCCACCTGCTTCACGACTGCAGATGAAAACGTAACAGAAAAAATATTTGTATTTGTTTAAAGACAAGCCTTCCATAATCATTGTCTGTCAGTTTGATGTAACCATCACAGTTAAGGCTGATCCAGCTCTTTGTTTACATGGTGACAAACTACCAAAAAAAACAAAAAGAAAACTACATTATTCATTATTCTCTATTTATGGTCAATTCCATATTCTGGAGGTTTTGGACTGTAGGAGTATGATATTATTTAAATGAGTCACAATGCTGCCATCTAGTGACTTTCACTTTAATATACAGCTGTTCATCCCCAAAACTATTTTCAGGGCACACATCATTTGGCGAAACCCAGGCATTGGGTTATGGGTTTTCATTATTGGAGGAAAAACCCGATAAAGATTCTGAATGTTACATATGTTGCTGAATGTCAATAAAAAAGTAAATTTAAAAAATCGTGTGTGTATTGCAGCAAAAAGATTTCTTGTTCCCCTCCTCAGTCTAAAGCCTCAGTAGGTGGAGACTCATTTGATTGGTTTAAAAAAGCGGAATTGGAGACTGTAAAATTGATAAAAGAAACTAAGGATCTCCCCTGTGTGACATGAACTAGTAGCTTTGTCGTATTAAATAAATCATAAAATCAATGTATTTTATTTGGTTTAATTCTAGCTGAAGTTAGACCCCACCCTTGTTCTTCACATGACAAAAGACGTTCAGACGTCTTCTCTCACTGTGTCGTATAAACACCAGATAAACTCTACATCTCCATCACTGTATTAATCACATTAGGTGGAATCACGAAACCCATCCTGTGAGTGCAGCGTGTGTGTGTATGTGTGTGTGTGTGTGTGTGCTCTGTGTGCCTGTAGCCTGACACTGTTTAAAGAAGCCGGACTGAATTCATGGTCCCCCCCGGGGAATTCTCCAAGAACCCAGAAGATCGATTACTAATGGGAACATCTGGCTGAGGGCTAGAATTACTGACATGGCCTCTCCAAAAAATGACTATGTTGCATGTTTGTTCCACACACACCTCTGTGTGCCTGACATAAATGTTGCCATTCACAATGCAGATGTAAAACTGTTATGGACAGGGCACAGCAGGATGTGGAAAAACAATATAAAGTGATGTGCGCTCTGAGAGAATGAGTCAGGGTGTAAGACAAAGAGTGGGGAGAGAGGTGGGGAGGGCAGGAGAGGGAGGGAGGGGAGGGAGGGGAGGGAAGNATTACAGAGCAAAGGCTAACGTGAGCCATTTATTACACTGTGAGCCGGACCGAGCGATGTGGACATGAGAGGAAGACGAGCGGCTGCAGCGGTGATGGTTGTCAAGACTGACGGCTATATTTAGACCACACTGTGTGGCCGCTGAATTAGGAAGAGGAAATCACCCGAAATATGTGTCGTTTTCAGAGAGTGTTCAGTCTTAGGACTTAGAATACAGGAAGTGATGTACACAAAGTAAAAGAAAAACACCTGCAGGAACCAGGGGGCGCTGTGGACCCAGAGGAAGAGCCACACCCAAAGCACAGAGCAAAGTCAGAATGACGTCAGCCGGATTGGTAGTCTGACTTCAGACCTAATATAAAACACACACACACACACACACACACAGATCTAGACCATCATGGCGGTAAGGCTCACAGCCAACTCCCTCTCATCAACCATCCACATAGAGCTGATAACATCGTACAAATCACTCACATGAACCGTTAACACACGATGAGGGATTAGTCTAAACCAGTGGTTCTCAAACTGTGGTACACGGACCACCAGTGGTTTCCACATTTACATTTTCAGTTGAATAAATCTGAAACTGAATACCAGGCACAATTAATACAACATTTAAACATAAACGTCTTTATAAACATTTATAAGTATCTCTCCTGTGAACTCCGCTAACAGGGAAGGACTGTGCTGGTATATTCTAATGTTGGTCATCACGGTGGTACTCAGAGAGATCAATGTTTTCTCAGGTGGTACAGAGTATAAAAAGTTTGAGAACCACTGCTCTAAACTATACGGTAACGCTGTGTGCACAATATGCTGCACGACACACTGTATGAATATTATTTCTGTGTTCTCTCTCTAACCTCTACCCCCGCCCCCCTCTCGTTTCCTCGCCTTTTCCTCTTGCCTCTCTTCTTTCTAGGAAGGGAACGCCCATCAGTTGGTGAGGTGTAAGAAAAGAAGCAGACAGTGTCTGTCTGATCTGGTCTGATTAAAGGCACAGGCCTGATGTGGTCACCTGGTACTGGTCACCTGGTACTGGTCACCTGGTACTGGTCACCTGGTACTGGTCACCTGGTACTGGTCACCTGGTACTGGTCACCTGGTACTGGCTGTCGCTGGACCTTTTTCTAAATACTAATACTCTGGTGTTCTAGATGAAGTTGACCTTCCTTACATCAACCGACTGGTCTTCACTGATGAAGAGCAATTTGCTGGTTAACATTAACATTAGGCTTGGATATAATGTGATGTCTTTTCATTGGTATAGCTCTCTTTAGTTTGACTTATGCTTTGGATTGAAGGCAGGAGCACTTGGCAGATACAAAAACTGCAGTAAACACACCACTACTGCAGTAAATTATACGTGAGCTCATTCCTATCTTTCATCTTGAACGGCTTCCCTAATCTTCTCAGGGATAGGGTTTAACCCTGCACTGTTTGCCAGTGGATTGCAGGTTTTAGGATGACTAATAATTTATAATAATCATAATATATTGAAAATATTACTAACTAAAAGATTAGTTGAACAAATTCCCTAGTGCAGGATCAGTAAATTCAACCTTCAGTACTGAAAAGTGAAACAGCGTTTGTATTGATTTTATAGGAACACAGTTGTTCACAGAGTTGTTGACATTATTCTTTTCCCTGTCCAGTCTTGTGTCGTTTGACATTTCACTTTGGATTTTGTTTGAACTGTAATGTATGAATCTTTGTGGCTCCCTTACCTGCTTAAGTCTGGGAGTTTTGCATGATTTTCCTCACAATTGTTCAGGGTTTCTCCAGAGATGGATGAGTGAGAGTAGGAGTCAAACGACGGTAACCAAAGAGGGCTACGTTCAGCATGTCAATATCTGGCTCCCTCACCTTTTGCCCTCTCGGGTTCTTCCTGTCCACTGAAGGCAAACTCATTTTCCTCTCTGGTTTTGTGCTGTGGCCGGCAACCTTGACGACATCATCCAATTAAATGATTACTTTCAAAGTCACATTAAGCTCAGAGCGTTGAACATGTTGATAAAGGCCTCCACAAGGAAGATGGTGGACACGTGAGGGAGGTCACGGAGATGCTGGAACAGAAAAGACTCTGCACCAGAACCTGAGTCTGGACTAGACTGAAAACTAACTGGAAAATAACCAGCATTGTTGAACAGCGATTACTGATCCCAGTGCATTTGAAAAGGATAGAATAACTGCACAGTCATGGCTCTGTCCCAGACGCCCAGAATATCAATAAAGTATTCCATTACAGTAAACGGAGAGAGAGAGACAGACAGAGGAGAGTGGGGGAGGAGACAAATGGAAGAGAAAAAAAAATCTGAATCAAATCATTGTATTCATGATTTAATTTATACAACAATTTAAAATTATTCTGTCTGACAGTATAGAAAATAGATTCCTTTTTACATGTATTTGATTTTGAAATTGTAATTTAAGTCTGATAATGATAATGATAATAATAAAAAAAAATAATGAAAAAATTTAACGGAGTGTAGTAATCAAATGGGAGAAACCACAATAAAATACGGATGACTGAACAACAGCAGAAAGCATCACAGAGGACATAAATCAGAGTGGAGCGTTGGTGTGGCTGGTGATGCAGGATCCACTCTGGCCTCCTGCCAAACGCTCTGGTTAAAAGGGTGGAGCTGTGAGGACGGAGAGTAAGATGGAGCAGCGGCGGAGACTCAGGCAGAGGCAGGGACTGGGGAGGGGCTACGGTTTGTATGCTGATGTGATGCTGAGCAAGGATGTGTTCATGTGGGTGGGGTGAGGCGACCGGAGGGAGGAGGAGGAGGAGGCGTGGAGGAATGATGGGATAAAAACCCCAGCGCTCTTCATCCTGATGTCCTGTTGCTTCAACAGCATCGCCCAGCCTTCAGCTCTGCACTTTTCTACGACGACGGAGAACAGACAAAGATCCACCATGAGCCACTCTTCAGTTCACACCTCCACCTCCTACAGGCGCACTTTTGGGAGCCCACACCCCATCGCCATGTCTTCCTACTCCTCCGCGTCATCCCGGATGCCTCATTCCGGGGGGCGCTACATGCGCTCAGCCTCACCTGTGGTGGCATCTCGTCCCACCACCTTCCACCAACAGCGCTCCCGCCCCAGCGCTCAGCCCCCGCGCCTCAGCTATGACAAGGTGGACTTCACCTTGGCTGAAGCCATCAACCAGGAGTTCTTGACCACTCGCAGCAATGAGAAGGCTGAGCTGCAGGAGCTCAACGACCGCTTCGCCAGCTTCATCGAGAAGGTGCGCTACCTGGAGCAGCAGAACGGTGCCCTGCAGCAGGAACTCAACCACTTCAAGGGCCAGCAGCAGCACGGGCAGCCCAACCGTGCCTCGGAGCTCTTCCAGGAGGAGCTGAAGGAGCTGCGGCGCCAGATGGAGGCCATCGGCAAGGACAGGGACCAGTACCAGATGGAGAGAGACAACCTGGCTGAAGACCTGGCTCTGCTCAAACAGAGGTTGGTACCAGTGTAGGACACAGAGGTCATTTACTTGGTCTAAACATCTGTGATATGAGTTGGATGTTTGGAGCTCTGAGGAAACAGAACAGATGACAGAAAGTTTCTTGTTTTGAAATAGTTTCAGGTATTTTTCAGGTCTTGGTTTTTAACTTCGACCCATTGTTCTAGTCATGTTTGTAATGTGATGTAATAAGTTTGTTTAAAACAGAAAAGATCCCAAACTCACCTTTCCATTAAACATATATGATGCTGAAGTAGGGCGTGGCCAGTGGGCAGACTGGACACTAGTGCTGCAGCATGACACATGCAAACACCGGCCTTCATCACGGCTCGTACGGATTAGGCCAATTAATGACTGCATACATGAAAAGAATGACAAAGGTTTTGTACAAAGGTGGGAAAGTGTTGGATTTCACTGCAAAACTAATTTTATTTTCTGGAATAAATTAACAAATACTTTTTAAATGTGAAACCGACTTCTGCATGGGAGAAAGATGTGAGAATGAATGGACCAGACAAAGGGTGGGGCAGGCTGAGGGAAGAGGAAGAGGAGGGGAAGAGGAAGAGAGGTTGGATATCAGGCGTGGTCAGAGCAGCATCAGGAAAAATCAATGTGGCTCAATGACTCCATTAGGTGTTTGGTGTGTCCCTCTGAGCTAATGGGATGGTGCCAGGGACCCCATTAGGACGAAAGGCCCCTGTGGAACACGGCATGAATTAAAGATGAGGGAGCAGGACCTGCTACTTGATGCTTTCCTTGGGGCGTGCCTGCTGATGTGTATTTAGTGCGACGACATTTAGTACGCGCTTGTAATAAATCACAGCAGACAATCTTGACTTGTAGTTGAATTTGACGAAGCACTCTGAGCTGCTGGTTTTCTTTACGGTTACAGTTTTGTGATTCTGACGGCCACGGTTTCACTGTTTTGATTTTTCACACACTTTACAACACATTATTATAGAAGATGGTAAGAGACTTTTTTTCTGATTTTACATTATAACATATAGTTTTTAAAACTTCTCATTGTCAAACATGGGGCCTCATATATAACTTCTCATTGTCAAACATGGGGCCTCTGTGCATTTTCTGCACAACAGTTTTTGTTTTTTTTTGACAGCAGGCCATACTTTTTTTTCCTGTTTTCTTGGTCAAAAATGATCAATATAATGAGGGCAATTTAAATCTGTCAAAAGAAAGGAAGTGTGTGTACATAATGCTTATTAAGTCAGAGTGGATGACCTTATTGACCTGCAGGGAAAAATCACATTAGCTGAAAGGCACAGCAGCTGTGCTGGATCTACCACCCTTTTACAGGACAGTGAATTAAATTGATCCAAAAAGCTATTTGGCAGCTGGTGCGACTTTTGAAAAAGAGAGGATTCTTGTAAAATATTATACTGGTTCAATTTCATAATCATCTTTCTCTTCTGTCTGTTGCCAAGGTTGGATGAAGAGAGCCAGAAGAGGGCAGACGCTGAGAACAACCTGCTCGCGTTCCGTAAGGTAAACAGGCTCAGCTGACAGACTGAAATGAACACATCTTTACAGCTTTATTACCATGGTACTGTAATGTGAACCAACAAAGTTTCTTATAACCTTATAGAAATAAGTCCATACAGGGGGCGCTGTAGTGTTTTATATAACATTCTGTGAAGGCCTGAAACATGAACCCAGTGATTTTTCTTTTCTTTTTTTTTTTTTGTGGCAAATGTTGCAACTAACGTTGACTGACGTGTTTGTTTCTGATGGATCAGGACGTTGATGATGCCACGCTGTCTCGTCTGGAATTGGAAAGAAAAATTGAATCTTTGATGGATGAGATTGAATTCCTTAAGAAGGTCCACGATGAGGTAAATGATAGCACTTTTTATTAAATAAATTGGGAGTTGCTTTACTTCAGGGGCAGTTTTCAAATCGTTCGCTTTCTGAAAAATCTATCTTGAATGACTAATGATCGTCGCAGGAGGTGACAGATTTATAGTTTTATTATTTATGGCAAGAAGGCAATGTAGTAAACAAAGTATTTTATCTTTT